CAATTCCTACTGCTGCAAACAAGACTTTTCCGGGGGACTTATGCCCTCCACACTTGAAGCAAATCTCTCTTCGAATCTTAAAAATATGCAAGGGATTGCCGCTTGCAATTGTAGCGATAAGTAGTGTTTTGGCTACAAAGGACAGGAGCAGAATAGACGAATAGTAAATGCTTTATCGCAATCTTGGTCCTGAATTAGAGGGCAATGACAACCTAGATAGTATGAAAAAAGCAATCTCTCTCAATTACAATGATCTGCCTTATTATCTGAAGATCTGACCTAAAATAAAAAAAAAATTGGAATATGAAATATGATCTAGCTCTCGAGTATGAAATGAGACCTAATTTGTTAATATGATGGAGTTTGTAATATGAAATGCCATGTAGTTTTGGAATATAAAATAGGACCTAATTTATTAATATGATAAATGTAATGAGAAAAATTTGTAAATGAAATTTGTTTGTATAACATTTTTTTAACTTTATTATTTTATTTAGCATTTTCTCCATCCTAAATATTTGTTCATATATTATTGGCCTATTTGGTGCAGCTTATCATAATTTGAAAGTTGATAATCAAAAAATAAAAGTAAAAAATAAATATTTTTTTTAAGCTTTAGATAATAATTATTTTTTTAAGCATATTTAAGCTGTTCTTATCTAATAAGCTGTACGTATAAATTACATCAAATAGTCTGATATAAACTCCTGAAAAATTTATTTAACATTTTTCTAATAATAGTAATTAATGTCATAACGTGGTGGGCTGTGACAGTGATGATAACATGTGTAGTGGTTCAAATACTAAATTCAAACAGTAACATTATATTATCTAAGTTAACATAGTGATATTTTACTGTGTTAAATAGTGAAGTTTGTCTTCTTTTTTTTTTTTCTTTCTTTAGAATTTTATAGCGAACATGTAACAAGTAGATCTAAAAATACTAATTACATCAAAAAGTTCAAATAAAGTCCATATATACATAAAATGTTATGAGATATTAAAGTTGAAAACTAAAAATTGACACTTTTGTGAAGGAATTATAAACTCAGTGTGCATTGCACACTATTAGGGATGACACACACCTCCACCGCGTATCATATCGGGGGCATGACACGTTGGGAGGTGGAAGGAGTAGAGTAGAGAATTTGTTTATTTTATAATTTTAAGAATGAGAATACTAATAAAATTTATTCATAATATGATATATTATGAATAATAATTTATAAATTATAAGAATTCTAAAAGGTAAGATAAGGATAAATAAATAAAAATAAATGTTAAATATAATATTTTAATATTTCGACACGAAAATTTTATGACCAAAGCCTTGGGAGTGATGTGTGCCAAGATGGGGGCCAAATGTGAACTCTCTTTTTATGATTCAAACGGTGTAGTGTGTAAAGAAGATGATTCACAAAGAAAAAAAATCAAATTAATCACATTACATTTAACTTAAAACAATATATAATTTATTTTTAAAACAATATATTATTTTTCGTTCTTTAAATTAGTTAGTCAATGACACTATTTGGTTTATCACTCCTTTTAACTTTCATCCTACTTTTTTCTCACCACTATCCCGCCCTTTTATATTCACTTTTTCAGTGGATAGGTATGGCATGGGTCCAGCTTTTTTCTTACGTGTGAAGTTTATTTCGATGAAGTTTAAGTAGGTTTGGCCTCGTTTGGTAATAGATTAATTTAATAATTTTTTAGCTATTTAGTTAAAATATAAGTTAAAAAAAATTAGTATGTTTAGAATGATTTTTTAACTTTTTACGAAAATATGTGTAAAAAGTAGAGAGAAAAGAGAATCTTTGACTTTTTGGTATGAGTTGTTGGCTTTTTAACTTATTTAGGCCTCGTTTGGGAACCCTCTATTTAAGCCAAAAAGTCAAAAAGTTACTAAATTAGCCAAAAAGCCAACAACTCATACCAAAAAGTCAAAGATTCTTTTTTCTCTCTATTTTTTGCATATCTTTTCGTAAAAAGCCAAAAAGTCATCCTAAACATACTAGTTTTTTTAGCTCATGTTTTAATCAAATAGCCAAAAAGTTACTATTAGCCTGTTCCCAAACGAGGCCTTAGTAACTTTTTGACTTTTTTGTTAAAAATGAGAGTTCCCAAACGAGGCCTTTGTTTGGCATGAGGGTTTGAGTTGGGTTGAGATTATTTTAGTTATAAAAAAATAAAATAATTTTTTTTAATTTAATAAGATAAAATGTTACATACAAATCATAATTATTTTATTTTTTCTCTTGTAAAAGTTAAAAAAGTCAAAAAATTCAGACAAAATGAGACTTTTTAATCTCAAACTAAAATAGTCAAAAAATTAAAAGATCAAAAGACAAACTCACATCCTAAATGAAGACTATCTAGACCGACTTAAAATAGTCTCTCGTGAATCACAAAACAAGAGGAAATTTGTTTTTTTTTTAAAAAAATTTTTGGAGTCGGATTTTTCTCAGGATTAAAGGGAGTCGTTCAGGTCCGCAAGATTTATCACCTCTTATTTTAATTATTCGAATTGTTTATTTTAAAGACCCTTTATATATATTATTTTTAAAAAATATTAAGTGAATTCAATAATTATAAAATTTTAATTTTGTCATATTTGTCACTAAATATTATTAAATTTATTAGTTTGTGCAACATTCAGTGTGATTGGTTTCAGTTTTTTGGAAATTGAATTTTTTATTTTTCATTTTTTTTTTGTTTTTAGTGAATATTTTTAAAATTTTAAGCAATTTTTTTAGTTTTTTAGATGCACCTTACTTAGATGTATCTAGATAGTAAAATATTTGTAGAAAATATTTAAAAATTAATAAATATACAAAAATACGAAAATGTACTGAATTTTCATTTTTTTTAAAATTTTTTGGTATTTAGTGAATTTGTTAAAGATTTTTTTCATAAATATTATACTCTTTAAGTGTAGTTATGTTAGGTATATCTAAAAATTAAAAAAATTATTTAAAATATTAAAAAAGTTCAGTGAAAACAAAAAAATACGAAAATAAAAAAATAAAACATATATCAGAGAAATCTGACTGGGTTTGATCCTCTTCCTCAAAACCTCATTGCCCGATTCTTCTCTCTCTAGCAGAACCTCCCAATCTCTTTCTCTTCTTTTTTGTTTTTTTTTTTTCTCTGCACTTTCTAGATCTCTCAACCTGATTTCATGGATCTATAAACCCACCCACCTGCATTGTTGTCTTTCGTCTAGGTTTACGAGCCACATGCTTCGTTCGCCATTCTCGCTCTTTCGAAGCCATGCAATTGCTTGCTTCGAGCAAAGAAGCTGATTATCAACTCCGCCGCTGCTGCCAGCAGGAGCTACATCGGAACCCTAGAATCGGGCAATGAGGTTGGGAATGCTCTTCTTCTCAAACTTGATGAACTCCCGGAATCTTACTCGATCAAGAAGAATGTTACTGAAGCCACTAAAATGTCGAGCAATTGTGTTCTAGTGTTGGATCTATGCGTGAAGTGTAACAATCACATTTAGATATTTTGAATCTCCAGAATTCCGAAGTCTAGAGAAATTTTCAGAATTTCTCTGAACCAATTTTCTCTGGATTTAATTTCTTAGATATAGCAAGAGATGATGTTAAATTTGTGGATCTTACTTGTCCATCATCAGTACAATTGGTGCCTTCTGCCAAGAAGCATTCACAGACATCTTTTATCAGCTTCACCACATAGAAACCAAGTTCACTAATTCTATATGTTTTATATATTTCTCCTTCACCAATTTCAAAATTGCATCTAAACTTGGAATATGAAAACCAGATTGCTGAGAAGAGTTACAGATCAGAGAAATTTTCATATCATAAACTAAACAAATAAATAACAAAAGGAAAAAATAAAATGAATAATTTGATTTTTTTAAAAGTATACACACAAACTGGTTCTTATGAAGCAAGAAAGTGAGTTGAGGTAGGGGAATTCTTATGTTCAAAAAAACAAAGGGCAGAGAAATTTACAGTGGGAAGTTTAGGGAAGTCCAGAATTTTTCTGGACCAATTTTCTCTGACTTGAATTTTCTCTGGACCAGTTTTCTCTGGATTGATGTTGAGGGACCTTAGACATCATAAAAATATTTGATGTCCTTTCTACTATAAAATCATAATATCAAGGACCTTAAAAAAAATACCACTGTATTTATGTTAGTTGTATCTAAAAATTAAAAAAATTGTTTAAAATATTAAAAAATTTAGTGAAAACAAAAAATACGAAAAACAAAAAAATAAAAAATAATATTTGTTGAAAAATAAATTCTAAAAATTGAAACCAAACAGAGTGATTGCTTTAAAGACTTACATGAATCCCATTAGAAGAAGAGAGAATAGAAATTAAAAGTATTCTGTCTCAACTTTTCAATATTTAGTTCTTTTAATTTATTTAAGTTATTTTAATTTCATAAATTATATATCGACACAAATTATGAAAAAGGAAAAAATTATAAATGACACTCATAAATTACACCAAACGAAACCAAGGAACCGCTTAAGCCAAACATCATCTCATGGAACATTCACATTCCAAACAAAGACTAAAGCATCTTGCTGTGGATTCCACCAAAAACGACAAAGGTTACGCGCAAACGAAGACTTTAGGAATCGAAGGGTGTCTCGAAGGTGTGTTACCTCTGAACTTATAATAAGTCTCATTATAATATTTATTTTTTGATATATAATATATAATTTACCTATTAAAAAAAACTTTAGGGCTATCAATATTATCACAACAGAACAGTGGTTACTTCCTAGAAAGAGTGCTGAAGGTGCCATCAAAGTTTCAAATAGAAAAAAAACAGATTTCACAGCTACCATAAATTTACTCCTGTATTGCCACACATATCACTCAAACCTCAGTTGAATTTTTGAGCATTACAAATTCCTGGTTTTGAAACTCAATTCAGATCACCATTTCCTCCTAATTATCCCCACAAACACAAAGCCTACTACTGCTAACAAACACACACAAAACAGAAAATGGCTGAAACTGCAGTGATCCATCTTCTAGCCAATCTTGCACCCTTCCTTCAGGGAGAGGTGAATTTGTTGAGTGGAGTTCGGGAAGCAATGGAAGACATCAGAGATGAATTCGAGCGCATGTCGGCTTTCCTCATAGTTGCTGATGCTACGGAAGAAAGGGACCCCGAACTGAAAGTTTGGGTCAAACAAGTCCGAGATGCTGCTTATGACACTGAATATGTTCTTGACAAATTCAAGCTTCACCTTGCACAACATCACGGCGATGGATTCGGTGGTTTCCTTCGTAAGTCTTTCTACTTTCCCAAGACTTTAAAAGCTCGCCACCAAATTTCTTCTGAAATACAAAGAATCAAGTCCAGGGTCATCAATATTTCCGAGGGACATAAAAGATACCGTGATAAATATGGCATACTAGAGCAAGGCTCAAGGTCCAATGTTGTTAACAATTCATGGTATGATTATCGTGGCGATGCACTTCTACTCGAAGAAGCAAAGCTAGTGGGCATCGAAAAGCCCAAAAGTCAACTGATGGAGTGGCTAGTCGAGGGAGATTCTGGGTTGAAAGCGGTTTCTGTGGTGGGAATGGGGGGCTTAGGCAAAACCACCCTGGTTAAAAAAGTCTATGATGATGCAACGGTGAAGAAACATTTTGACAGCCATGCTTGGCTCACTGTTTCCGAGTCATTCAGGGCTGAGGATCTCCTGAAGGGCATGATTCAATAACTCTTTAAAGAAATCATGCAACCAGTCCCTGTCGGAGTTGAAACTATGAGCATCGATGGGTTGAAATATCTGGTTAATAATTTTCTGCAACAAAAGAGGTACGTGGTTGTTTTCGATGATGTTTGGAATGTTAAAGATTGGGAGGCTATCAGAAACATGCTACCTGACAAAAATTGTGGTAGCCGTGTCATTCTCACAACTCGTTTCACCGATATAGCTTCTACCTGTTGCGAAGAAACTGATGGCGATGTTTATCCCTTGACGCCGTTGTCTGAAGAGGAGTCTTGGATGCTGTTTTGCAACAAGACTTTTCGGGGGAACTTATGCCCTCCAAACTTGAAGCAAATTTCTCTTAAAATCTTAAAAAGATGCCAGGGATTGCCGCTTGCAATTGTAGCGATAAGTGGTGTTTTGGCTACAAAGGACAGGAGCATAATAGACGAATGGGAAATGCTTTATTGCAGCCTTGGTGCTGAATTAGAGGGAAATGACAAATTAGAGAGTATGAAAAAAGCGCTCTCTCTCAGTTATAATGATCTGCCTCATTATTTGAAGATTTGTTTCTTGTACTTGAGCATTTTCCCGGAGGATAAACTGACATGGTGCAGAACAGTAATTCCACTTTGGACAGCAGAAGGATTTGTGAATGCTATTGAGGGGAAGACAATAGAAGAAGTTGCAAATGGCTACCTCAATGAGCTATTCAATAGGAGCTTGATTCAAGTGGCAGACAGAGATCCAGATGGAAGCCCTTCTTATTTCTACATTCACGACCTGATCCGTGAAATGATTGTTTCAAAGGCGAGAGGGCAAAACATTGTAACAACAATTTGTAGACAAGGCTCAAGGAGGCCGGAGAAGGTATGCCGCCTATTGATCCGAAGCACCTTGGATAATGTGGAATATAGCGAGCGTTCTTCTCGACTTCGTTCTCTGTTTGTGTGGGGGCCGATGGATTCATTGCCTAATGCATCCTTGCGTGAGTTGTTTAGACATGGTTCGAGGCTGCTAAATGTGTTAGATTTGTCAGGTATTCCATTAGATACTATACCGAATGAAGTTTTTAAACTGATCCATCTCAGGTACCTTGGCTTGACGAATACAAAAGTGAAGATGGTCCCAAAGTTGATTGGGAAGCTTGAGAACTTGGAGACCTTAGATCTAGGAAGTACCTATGTGACTGAGTTGCCTGATGAAATCCTACACCTTCAGAAATTGCGCAATCTCATATCATTTCATTGTAAACCAATAACCGCTAATTTGAAACTTGGAGATCTTTGTGGCTTCAAATCTCCATCTCAGATAGGAAGGTTGCAATATCTACAAGTGCTGACGTTGATAGAGGCAGACCAAAACAGTGAAGGTGGGATTAGTATAGTGAAAGAGCTGGGGAGACTAACCCAACTAAGGGTGTTAGACATTGGGAATTTAAGAAGAGAAGATGGGGTGATTTTGTGATCTTCCATTGAGAAGCTCAGCAATCTTCGCAGATTAAGTGTAATGTCAACAAAAGAGGACGAGATCCTTGATCTGCAATCTGTGTCTTCAGTTCCTCGATTTCTTCAAGATTTACGCTTGAATGGACGTTTGGAGAAGTTTCCGGGCTGGATACCTTCTCTCCATGGCCTTGTCGTTTTAAGTTTAGGGTGGAGCAAGTTAAGGGATGATCCTTTGCAATACCTACAAGAATTACCCAATTTGGCTAGGCTTGCATTTGAACAGACATACGAAGGTGAGGTATTGTGTTTCAAGGCAGGAGGGTTTCAGAGGCTTAAACTTTTATGTCTTTCTAACTTAAAAGGATTGAGATGGGTGAGAGTGGAGGAGGGAGCAATGCCCCACCTTGAAGCTCTAATTATCTATGGGAGTGAATTGATGGAGGAGGTCCCCTCAGGCATCCAACATCTAACCCACCTCCAAACGTTTGAGCTTCGTGATATGTCTGAGAAATTGATTTCTAAGTTAAATCGAGAAGTACAAGATGAGAATTATAGAAAAATAGCGCACATTCCTGAAGTTAGATATTGGTACTGGGAACATGGTCAATGGAAAGTAAAGTCTCTATGAAGAGAGAGGAAGGGGAGGAGAAGAGCTCTCTCTAGATTGGATCAGTATTATAGTAAGAGTAAAGCTAGAGGTCATGAAAAAACTTTCATGAAAATGATCATGAAAGAATTATGACCCTTGGATTACCTTGATTAGTGTGTAGTGCTTTATTTTAAGTGTAATCCAAGGGTCATAAATCTTTCATGATCATTTTCATGAAAGTTTTTTTCATGATACCTAGTATTGCTCTTAAATAACCATTTTTTTCTCCCTTTTCTTCATTTTTTTACATATTCTAAAGATGATTTATTTTCTTCTCGATGTAGATGATAATTGGTCACATTAATTGATTGCACTTTATTTTTACTTATTTAGCTTCCATTTGTTTGCAGTGGTGATTTTAAGAATTTTTTTTAAGGTGAACATTCAAAAATTTAAATTTTATAAATCTATTAATTTAGACTTTTCAAATCACACAAAAAAAAAAAAAAATTTAACTAACTGATATAATTGTTTCAAAAATTAAAATGTGGATACAGAAATTCTAATATAAATATATTTTGTGTTTATCACTAGTATGATAATTGTAAAGTCTATTCTTTTTTAATAGTTAATTTGTGCAGTAAGTTATAAAATAAAATTTGGATTGTTCAATGCATTGGGAACAAAAATAGGCATAAGATTTGAGATAAGAAATAAAATACATATAATGAAAAAAAGGATTAATTACAGTTTTCACCTCTCTATAGTTTAATCCAAATTTTACTTTAGTCTTTATAATTTTAATTTGAATAATTTAGTTTCTATACTTTAAGTCTAGTTTCAATTTGGTTCTTCTATCTATATTTTTGTTAATTGCGTCTATGTGTACACTTTAAAAAATTGACAAGTGTATAAAAATTGTTACTTTTAACATTCAATTTAGACAAAAAATCCAAATTGAAACCTTAGAAAATTAACAAGTGTCTAAAATTTTTAATTTATTTTGTCTACGTGTATACCTTAAAAAATTAATAAGTGTCTCAAAATTGTTATTTTAAACTCCAATTTAGACGGAAGAACCAAAGCAAAACCTTAAAAAATTGACAAATGTTCCAAAATTATTAATTTCAACCTCCAATTTCGATGAAAGAATCAAATTTAAACTAAACTTAAAGTGTATAGACCAAATTGTGCAAATTAAAATTATAGGTATTAAAGTAAAATTTAAGTCAAATTACAAAGGTGAAAAGTGTAATTAACCCTATATTTTATATTGAATTATTGTCCAAAAATTTATATATACTAGGGAGAATAAACAAAAATATGTATATATAAACTTAAACTATACATATATATTAGGATAAATTACACTTTGCCCTTTTATGTTTAATCATTTTCTTACTTTAGCCCTTGAAGTTTGATTTTTCCCACATTGGCCCTTCATATTTCAAATTTTTCTCAATTTACTCCTAAAACTAATTTCTGTTCAAAACTAGATAGAAAATGTTATGTTAACTGCCACATAATATAAAAAAAAAAAATTATTATATGAATATTTGAATATTGCTGCTATTAGCACCTACCTAATTTCTTTGGACCCCCTAATTCCTACTTTTTTTTATTTATTACAATTATACCCTGAAGTAAAATCACATTAAATGGCAACTTTTAATGAAATACCTACCCACCAAATGAAAACAATTAGAACGATACTCTACAATATTGTACACCCACCTCCATCCTCATCTATACATATTCCTTACCAACCTAAACCCTAACCGTATTCTTCTTCATCACCATCCTAAACCCATGTATTCATTTTCAATGAAAAACATTTGAAACCACCAAATTAATTAATGTTTTGTTCGGTAGTTTCAAATGTGTTCAGTGTTTTTAATCAGTCAACATTGCAAATAATCCTATTATAGACTCTAAGTTTCTACATTTGTGATCGTTTTCACCATTCGTTGATACTTACAAAGCAATGGAGGATGATGACAATAACTCTGATGAGATTGGCGTTGCATTGGTAAGTTTATCTACCTCGCATTTATGATTCTGGGTCATTTTTGGTTCAGTACTGGTTTGCCAACTGTTAAGGTTCTGTTAGTAATACAGTGCTGAATAAAAACATTTAGTTCAATAATACAGTACTGAACATAAACATTCTTGTGGGCATTGAAATGCCAACTGTTTATTGTTCTCAATCATTCATAGCTGAGAGAAGAAGAAGAGATGGTATGCAAAATTAGGTGGGTGTGCACTTGGGTGTGATGATATTATGAATATGGGTAAAATTAGTATTAAGTGGTGTGTTCAAAGAAATCCTTAAAATTTAGGATTTAGGATAGGATTCAAAAAAATGAAAGGTCCAAAGAAATTAGATAGGTATTAATAACAACCCTCTATTTGAATTTGTGTTAGAGCTAAATTATCTATAATAAAATCTATATAATAAAGCAAGATGGTTTTTGAATTTGTTCTACACACATTTGTCCTACTAGGACATTTGGACAGCTAAGATCTATTCAAATTATAAAACAACGGCTGAGATATATTTTTTAAAAAATATCCTATATGTACATTTTCTATTTTCCCGCTTCTCTCTCTTACTTTTTCCTTTTCTCACCCATCTTTCTATGATCCTATGATCCCACCTTCCTCTCTCTTTTTTATTTTTTTTATTTTCTCCTATTTTTATTTTTCTCTCAATTTGTTTATTTTTTTTTCATTTTCTCCTTTTTGTTCACTTATTTTTTTTCATATTATATGGAAAAGTCTGCGATCCCAGAATTAGGAGCTAGATTTTATGGTGTGTAGTGGAGATTAAATTAATGAATTTTATAGTTCACAAATTAAATGAATTTGAACAATTAATTATTATATTTAAATATATTGAATGGCTGATAGATTTCGTAAATTTAGATCTCATATGAATATTTAACTTATTTTAATAAAGTAGGATTGTTTTTGAATCTTCGACATATTTTTGTCCTATTAGGACATTTAGATGGTTCAGATCTGTTCGAATTATAAAACAATGGCTGAGATATATTTTCCAAAAGATATTCTACATATACATTTTCTACTTTCCGGCTTCTCTCTCTCTCTCTCTCTCTCTCTCTCTCTTTGTCTCTCTCTCTCTTTCCTTTTCTCACACCCCTCATTCCATGATCCCATGATCCCGTATTCCTATCTCGTTTCTTTTTATTTTTTTTATTTTCTTATGTTTTTATTTTTCTCTCTATTTGTTTATTTGTTTATTTTCTCCTTTTTGTTTAATATATTTTACACATATTTTCATACAATGTATGTATACTCGTAATACACTAGGACATTACAGGCATACATACAATTTCATATAATTATATAAGCAAAAGTAGTATTGTATGTATGCCAGTGGAAATTGTATGTATACTAGGCATATCTATCTATCTAGATATATATTGTATAAGCAAAAGCGAGTTTCCATGAGGAGTTTTGTGAGAACTCCAAAATTTTATAATAAACTTGTGATTTTATCAAATTTAAAAATAAATTTAAATAGTGTTGGGATTACAATTATATTATAATCCTAATATTATTTACACCGTGCCTTTAGGCACGGGCATAAGCTAGTATTTTTATATTACGTGACTATCAATATATCGTTTTTTGACTAATTTCGAACATAAGTTAGCTTTTAAAGTAAATTAGAAAAAAATTTAAAACTTAAAGAGCCAAAGTAGAAAAAAATTAATTTTAAGGGCCAAAACGAAAAATGACTAAACATAAAAGGGGCAAAGTATAATTTACCCTATATATTAAGAGCATTAATGAACATATTTTCTTACCATATTTTATTTATTTTCTCATATGTCAACACTATATTAGTAAGAAAAATGATTCATCTCCCTAATTTTGCCCCCTAATTTTGCCCCAATGATGTGAAATTAAGGAGGCTAAGGATGAGAGAGAGTATGAAACCACTTCACATGAGTTTTAGCCATATTATTGAAGGAGGAATTAGGGGACCTCAATTGGAGGATGTGTCCCCGCTCATATTTGTAACAAGCATGAGTAGTGATACTTATTAAATTAATATGATATTTACACGTAAGCTAATAAACAAATTATACGAAGAAAAAATGGTAACCATAATAATTCTTGAGTTATGGATTGAGTTTTCAATGGAGTGGAGTGCTGTGGGTGTTCAACAGAGATAGCTTTAGCAGAAAGTTGATAAAACCGCCGTTTTAGGACTCCAAAAAATGATTACAACAAAGGGCCCCCAAAATTAATTTATTTAGTATATTTTTAAATTTGTTAGTTTTTCTAGTTTTTATAAGTGATTAAAGTTGATTTTTTGATGAAAAATCACTAATTCCAAATAACCTCCATTTTTTTTTTCTTTAAGAAAATAGCCTTATAAGCAAATTTATAAGGGATTTTTTTTTAGGGTCTCTGATATTAAGATTTTATAGCATAAAGGACATTTAATATTTTTATGATGTTTAAGGTTTCTCAACATTGATTCAGAGAAATTTCAATCCAGAAAAATTCTGGACTTTCCAAAGAATTTCTCTGGGTTCAAACCAAAGAAAATTCAAAGCATTTAATTTTCTCTGAATTTCTCTGGTTTGAACTCAGATCAATTTCTCTGGGTAATTTTATCTGTGTTGTTGTGAAGAAGTAATGAACTCAGAGAAAATTAATTTTCTCTGATTTGCCTATATTTTTCTCTCTATTTTAACCAAATTAGAGAAAATTGTGTCTGTTAATTTTCTCTGTGTGATGGCCAGAGAAATTTGTTCATTTTCTCTGGCCAAATCACATAGTCCCCTGTGATTTTCTCTGGCCAGACTACGTACTCATCCCTTATCTTTGTGTTAAACAACAATCAACAGTTAATACTAAAGAGAGATTGAACAAGAAAATGAATAGATAGCTTATCAGCTTGAGCTAGAGGGAGAGGCTTGGAGGGTAGCTTTGCAGGCTTAGGCTGTTGAGCCTAGGGGGCTCGGGTAGTCGGAGCGACAGCTTTTTTAGGAACGATCTTTTGCTGCTGAGCAGTGATCAGATGCGACGGGTCATCGTTATCTTTATCACC